CCCCCCCCCCTTTTTCTTCTCCTCTTTTTCTCCTTTTTTTCTCTTTTTTTCTCTCTTTTTTCTCCCCTTTTCTTCTCCCTTTTCTCCCCCCTTTCTCCCCCTTTTTCCCCCTTTCCTTCCCTATTTTCTCCCCCCTCACCCCGTTCCCTGTTCCCGGCAGTTGATGGCAAATCCCGGGATTCCGTCCGGGCCTTCACGCGGATGTTCATTGCGGTGCCGGCGGGGAACAGCGGGTGAGGCCAACTGGGACCAGTGCGGGCTCCCAGCTGGGACTGGGCGAGGGCTGGGAGGGGCCCTGGGGCACATCTGCCCCAAAATCCGCCCGTTTTCCCCCAAATCCGCCTGTTTTCCCCAAATCCGCCCGTTTTCCCCCAAATCCGCCTGTTTTCCCCAAATCCGCCCGTTTTCCCCCAAATCCGCCTGTTTTCCCCAAATCCGCCCGTTTTCCCCAAATCCGCCCGTTTTCCCCCCATTCCCGGGGCTGTGCAACGACACGGGATGACCCCCCCACCACCACCTCCCTGTGTCCCTGTTTTTCCCACGTTCCCACCGTTTGGCCAAGGGATGACCCTAAAAATGGGTCACTTTTAGGGTCCCAACCCGGGGTGGGCCCTCCCCTCTCCTTCCACCCCCATTGTCCCCAAATCCCACCATTTCCCCCCCAATCCCACCATTTTCCCCTCAATCCCACCATTCCCCCCAAATCCCACAATTCCCCCCCAAATCCCACAATTCCCCCCAAATCCCACCATTTCCCCCAAATCCCACAATTCCCCCCAAAATCCCACCATTTTCCCCCCATTCCACTATTTCCTTCCTAAATCCCACCATTTCCCCTCAATCCCACCGTTTCCCTCCCAAATCCCACCATTTCCCCCCAAATCCCACTTTTTTCCCCCCAATCCCCCGTGTTTCCCCTCAGGCTGTGCCTGGTGAACGACGAGCTGTTTGTGCGGGGGGCGAGTCCCGAGGAGCTGCGCAAGGCCTTCGCTCTGCCCGCGCCCACCCCCTCCAGCAGCCCCGTGCCCACCCTGAGCCCCGAGCAGCAGGAGATGCTGGCGGCCTTCGCCATGCAGTCGGGCATGAACCTCGAGTGGTCCCAGAAGTGAGTCCAAAAACACCCCAAAAATACCCCAAAAATACCCCAAACCAGCCCTTGTCCTGCAGTCGGGCATGAACCTCGAGTGGTCCCAGATGTGAGTCTGAAAAACCCCTAAAATACCTCAAAAATATCCCAAAACCGACCCTTGTCCTGCAGTCGGGCATCAACCTCGAGTGGTCCCAGAAGTGAGTCCGAAAAACCCCTGAAATACCCCTAAAATACCCCAAACCAGCCCTTGTCCTGCAGTCAGGCATGAAGCTCGAGTGGTCCCAGAAGTGAGTCAAAAAAACCCCTGAAATACTCCAAAACCCCTGAAATACTCCAAAACCAGCCCTTCTGATGCGTTCGGGCATGAACCTCGAGTGGTCCCAGAAGTGAGTCTGAAAAACCCCAAAAATACCCCAAAAATACCCCCAAACCAGCCCTTGTCCTGCAGTCGGGCATCAACCTCAAGTGGTCCCAGAAGTGAGTCCTGAAAACCCTAAAAACCCTCCTTAAACGCCCCAAAATCAGCCCTTGTGGTGCATTCGGGCTCGAACCTCAAGTGGTCCCAGGAGTGAGAGGGGACAACCCCAAAACCACAGAGAAGTCCCAAACCACCCCGAAACATTCCAAAAACAACCCAAAAACTCAACTCTCCCCCCAGATCCCCCTGGGACCCCCCGTTCTCCATCCTCCTCCTCCTCCCTGGTCCCAGAAGTGAATCGAGAGCCCCCCAAAGCCCCCTGCAGACCCTCCCCCCGACCCTCCCCCCTCTCCCCCCAGGTGCCTCCAGGACAACGACTGGGATTACGGCCAGGCCGGGCAGGTTTTCACCCAGCTCAAGGTGGGGGTCTCCCCTCCCCCCTCTTTGCGCCCCCCTCCCCATTTTGGGGGCCCCTCCCCTTCCCCACTGACTCCCCTCCCCCTCTCTTTGCAGCTGGAAGGGAAGATTCCAGAGGTTGCATTTCTCAAGTGAACGTTGGACGTTGGAGAGACCCTCCCCAAA